AAAGACGGGGTTTTAGGCCCAGATTTGTATTGGTCTACTTTTGTTTGGGCTTTTGCCTCCACTTCACCCCAAAAAAAAAATCAGAAATTTTTAAAAGGGTTATTCGCAGCAATGGTCCCTCAACTATACCCGTATTTACAGTTTGGTCACTCAATTCAATTATTAGTTGCAGATGTCACTCAAGTACGTGTTTTGTTGCACCATTAATCCTTCCGTCAAGTCTGTTACTTTTTCTGTTTAAAATGATGACGTGATAAGCATCTTTTAGATTATTGATGGGCAAATGTGACTTTTCAGTTAGGATTATTTGTAGCAATGATCCCTCAACTTTACTCGGAGTTACATTTTGGTCACTCAACTCCCAAAAATAGTTACAGAGGTCACTCAATTAGATGTTGTGTTGCACCATTAGTCCTTACCTTTAGAGAGACTTTACAGTAGGGACTAATAGTGCAACACAACATCCAATTGAGTGACCTCTGCAACTAATAATTGAATTGAGTGACAAAACTGTAAATACGGGTATAGTTGAAGGATCATTGCTGCGAATAACCCTTTTTAAAAATACAGTGCTTCCATTGAGAGATCTCACTCTTGTAGTTGTAGGGCCCATTCTGCATTATATTTTACTAATCCAAACCATCTATTTTGTATATATTCATTCAAAAATCATCTCTACAAAATATCACTTGAATCCAATATCATTTGAGCACTCAATTAAATTATTGAAATTTAAATATTTTCTTGAAGCATTGTGTTCATTGATTTTGTTGGTCTCAATTAGATGCCTTAATGATTTTCAATTTGCATGATTTTTTGCAATGATGATCTTTGAATGAATATGTGAAAATAGATGGTTTGGATCATTGAATTTGTTTTTGTAGAGGACCCTAAAGGGTGTCTCTCAAATAAAATTATTTGAAGGATCCCAAAATAGATGGTTTGGATCATTGAATTTGTTTTTGTAGAGAACCCTAAAGAGTGTCCCTCAAATAAAATTATTTGAGGGATCCTTTAAATAATTTTATTTGAGAGACACCCTTTATGGTATCCTATGAAATTTTTTCCAACCATGTAGGCCATCTATTTTTCAAGTCTACATTCATAGATCATCCTTGAAAAAAATTAGACAAATTGGAAACCGTTTCAACATCCAATTGTATCCTACAAAATCAATGAACACGGTACTTCAAGAAAATACTAAAATTTTAATAACGCAATTGAGTGGTCAAACGATATTGGATTCAAGTGATTTTTTGTAGAAATGATCTTTGAATGATTATCTAAAACTAAAACATAGACGGTTTGGATTAGCGAAATACAATATGAAGTGAGCCCTACAAAGGTGCCTCTCAAATAAGTTAATTTGAGGGATCCCTCAATGAAAGCTCTCTGTATATGTGTGTGTGTATATATAATACAACAATGACTTTTACCACATTTGTATACCACATTCTCATACCAACTTATGCGGCAAATGAGGTGGATAACCACGTCAATTAAAATTAATTTAACATTTTCTTTTCTTTTATAATTTATTGACACTTTTTAATTGATGTGGTTGTCCACTTCATGTGCCACTGCTACATAAGATGATATGAGAATGTGGTAAGAGTAGCAATACTCTATATATGACGAAAAAAGGCAACCTTGTGAAAGACTCAACAATTTTTTTTTTTTGAGACCTACCTCTCCTTGTAGTTTAGACTATCGTTTGTATTTTTTTTAAAAAAAAAATTTATAGACTAAATCCTTAGTTTAAATGTGAATTGTTCATTTTATCCAATATGGAATTACCATCAACGCCAAAGCTTTAAAAGGAAAAAGAGAAAGTTCTCACTAGACTCTCAATAACTACAACACATGTGACTACAACCCCCATCACCTTATTCATCAGTCCTCATTCAACTCTCACTAGCTATTACTCACACAATGTTGAACATGCATGCGAGTAAAGCATAACAAGGTTTGAATGCTAACATAACATTGATGGAAAAAGAAACTATTCTTGACGGATAGAGAATTAAGTTGTCAATTGAAAGCCTTCAAATGAGGTATCGGTCGACATTCTTTGAGGTTTTTTTTTTCTTCAAATTATTACGAATTCTTGAACTGATACGAATAAATCTTTTGATGGTTGGTCATCTCAATCACAATAGAGGGTTTAATGGATGGCACCGAAACCATGATGAAAAGTTCAACGGCTTCCCACCAAACGTATCTTGATCTCAAAGCAAAATCAAGTCGTTTGGTGAGTAGTCTGTGAACATCCCATTGAATAGTGTAAAATTAGCTTATGCAAGAAAGAATTACTTACCATTTGCATTGGTCTGTTTCTGATTCTAAGAACTCTTTCAGCGTAAAAATCTCGATATGGCATTGAGGACTTGGAGGAAGGTAGAGTCCTTAGCCTAAGGACTGAAAGTCTTTAATATTGCAAAAACTCGTGATGTAGTAAGACTAACCAGGAGCAAATTTCTCATAAAGTCGTCTTCCAATTCCTAGTAATTGCATGTACTAGACTGGTTAGGTTGGAGCTTTTAAACTTCTGCAAGATAAAATTGAAATCTATTAATTATGTAATGTTGACGCCTAGCAATGATCCGTACGTAATTCAAAGGCAGTTAAGGCTACTCAGCGTGTTCAAACTTAAACCACAAATTGATGTTAAAAGAAATGTCGTTGAAGATGTTATAGCCATGTGTGTGTATATATATATATATACTTAGTAACTTAATTGCTGTTACAAGGCTGTCCCTGGAATTAGAATATTCTTGATGATCTGTTCAAACTTCACAATAATTAGACAAAGTCACATTTTACAAATGACCGGATAATAAAAGATGAGCACAAGATGAGCCGTAAATTTAGATATTCGACGTGTTCGAATTTTATGAGCTTCAATTAAAAAAGGAGTTTTACTTTGTTAAGCTTCAACCGACAATATAGTCCGGAGCCTTGAAGGACTACTCACATACTAATTCCCAACTTTTCTTTGGAATTTCCCATCTCCTTTAATTTATACCAAGTATCAAATTCTTTCTAGCTAGTATAAACACAAGAACAACTATCACTATTATTATAATTTTTTTTTTATGCAAAACAATATTGGAGGAGGGGGTGAATCGAACCTAGAACCTCGGATGCATGAGTAAATGTTCTTAATCACTTGAATTACAAGCTCCTTACAACTACCGCCATTACTTAACTACAAGATATCAAGTAAGTTCATTCTTCAAATAATCTTTGACTAGAGACAAGGTCTTTTAGAGAATTAACAGAGTGGAACTTACAAATTGAGAATAATGCATTAGGTAAACAGATGTGTTATATACATAGGATAAAACGGTTAGTTTGATGATCGCCAACTTTGTCAACTATTTACAAATATAAGAGTAAACTCTTTATAACGAATCATTTATGTTTCCAGTAAATCACAATTTGACACATATACAATTAAAAGTATATAAAAAATCAAATTTATACAAACGTACGTACGTGTCACATTGTGATTACCAAGCAAGTAAGAATGACCGCTTCAAACATATAGGAGCCAGTTATTCTCCATAATTAATATTTGATGCAATGTATTAAAAACTAAGAGCTTTGGTAACCACTGGTCCAGCCATTTAGCCATATCTTAATCTGATCATTCCATTTGAAAGGTAGATATATATAGTTAGTTAATTAGGTGGCATGCATGCGTTTCAGGCTTCCAGCATAAACTTTTGTTTAATGAAGCAGAAATCGCTGGATGTTTCTTGGTTCAAGATTATATTATTTATTTTCATTTCCCAACCACATGGCTGAAATCTACAGTTGGTAAGGTTCAACTTCAATGCAAATTATGCATACAATTGAGAGTTAGAGACTGTTGCCAATCAGGCTCTCTCTCCATCAGCATCCAAAAGCTTGTTAACTGGGGGTCCCTTTACTTTTTTTATTTCACGTGTTTCACATTTAATTTTTGTTTTTCTTAAAAGGAAATTTCTTTAAATAAACTTTAACAGTACAATTAAAGATATTTAAAAAACCAATTACAAGAGAGTAATAAACTAATATACTAAAAGTAAAATTAACGCAGATAAAAACCGCACTAAAATTATTAATCCACATCACTACAATTAACTATAAATCCAGATAAATCCCACAATTAACCGTAGCGGACATCACGTGTTTCGCATCTACTTTAACTAAGCGTGTTCATATTGAAAACTTTGATTGTCCACTCCGAAGGGAAAACTCTAAGAATTTTGAACCAAAAAAAAATAATTATTAAAAGAATAATGCTATGGTTAGTCACCACCAACGCGGTCGTAATAACTTGTTATTAAATTGTTCAACATTTGTAAAAAGTACATAACACCTTTTTCAGAAACGTATGCTTTATGCAATATTTTAATGAAATTACTATGTGCATAAGAAGGACCTAATATTTTATTGAAATAATTGAACAATAATGATTTGGATTTCAAAGAACAAGAATGAAAACGGAAAAACAACATCTTAAAATAAAAGAATAACTAAATATAAGGAAACTAAATCTAATTTTTTAATTCTTGGTCAAAGTATAAATCTTAAGCACTAAAGCTCTGTAATTTCCATACTTGTTGACCTAAGTCCACACCTCTTTTTTTTTTTTTGTTGGTCTTTTTTGTTTTTTTTGTTTTCCATTTTTTAAAAATAAAACCTAATAATAGCAGAAATAGGCTTAGCCAAATTGACTAGAACGGATGTGCTTCTGCATCTGAATCTCCGTCTCGATAATTTAGATTAGATTAAAGTAGAATATATCTTATATATATAAAAAAAGAAACCCAATAATAAATTCCAGGTTCCCCACCTTCTCACCCACTCAATATATAGTTTGTAAATGGAGGGAAAAGAAAACTGTAAACAACAAGAGAACAGAGGGCGCTCTTAATTATAGCCTTATAGGCTATCCAGTACTTTCATCAAAGTCCAAAACCAAACCTTCTAAATTTACCATAAACCCTCCATTTTTCTTCTCCTCCTCCATTTGAGAGATTCCAACAAAACAAACCCTGTTTTCTTTCTTTTTCTTTTGGTTTGTCCACCTGGAAGCAGATTCTCATTCCTCCCCCTCTCTCTGACCTGCTTTTTTGTACATCACATCCAACATGACATAAGACAACAATTAGTGGCGGATGTTTCTGAACATTGTATTTAAAAAAGATTTTCATGTAAGATTTTGTTTTATACTTTACCAACTGTTTCATCAGCCCACGAGAGAGACAAACAAATCCTCAACTGAAATTTAAATCACAGACCAAATCAAAACGTTTACTGTGTTTTTTATCCTTACTGATTCAGTGCCTTCGAGAAACGCTCCCTTAAATAATTGTAAGTTCTCGTTTCATTTTGAATCACCATAAATTCAAAAGGGTCTTGCTTACTTTTGCTATTTTATGTTTTTTTTTTCTTTGCCAATCTGACATGATGAGCTATATGAAATTTTCTCTGTTCTGGGTATGTAGAGACGCTTTTGAATTGAGATGGGTTTGGCTTTGTTTTTAATTCCTGTGATTTTTTTTGGCTTAATCTGTAATGGGTTATGTGATTCTTTTCTGTTTCTGGTATAAACTTTGATCAAAATCAGGCTTTTAATTTTATTTGAATTTTTGTTGTTGTCATTTTTGGTTTAATTCATATGATATGGTTCATGTTTATTCTTTTGGGTTAAGGTTTAGTAAGGGTTTACTTCTTTAATAATTTCTCTCGTTTGGTTTAATCTGACATGAGTTCATGGGTCATGTTCATGTAGATGGACGATGATGAAGATGAGGAACCATAATCATTCTCTAAACTATGTGGCTAATGCTTTTCAATTAGGGGGTTTTTAATATGGTGCTGGGAAAGAACAGGGACATAAAGCCTCTTCTGTTGAAATTTGGGGTGGCTTTTGCTCTCTCTTTTGCTGGATTTCTCTTTTCTCGTCTCAAAATCAAAAGGACCAAGCCCTCCCTGCCTCCTCCACGCTCGCCGTGCTCTTCGGGTTTGTCTTCTCACCTTAGATTGATCTCCTTCGGTTGAGTTTTTCTTTGTTTGCTTGGTTTTCGATTACTCATCATCTTGATCATATTATGTATGTAGATAAAGAAAGTGAAGTTGATCCAGGAGTAAGACATCGGCGAAAGGATGACCTTAATGTGACAAGGAAATCACACAGTTCATGCAATGCTTCAATTGCCTCAGAAAAATATGTATGTTTAGATGGATCATAAAGTCTTAGTTATATTCACTATGAAATCTCTGTTTTTGTTTTCGATTGATTTCAAAATTTTCCAGTAATAATGATTTTGTTGCTTGATCAGAAAGTCTTATATGAGCAGATTATTTCTACATGCTGATGTAGCTTTACCATAAAAAACGAAAATCAGTTCTGAAGGATTTTATTGGTGTGATAGCATTCCATCTGATTTATATAAAGGAAGAGATGATTTATATAAGGGAAGAGATGATTTATATAAAGAAAGAGGTGATTTATATTGGTGTGATAGGTTCATGATTATCCAACTAATTGTCTCACTTGAATGATGAAGGATTACTTTTCCAATTATAGAAACTAAAGATACGATTATGGAATTTCTCATTCATTCTTTGCCCCTATTTTCCCTTAATATTTGTGGTGGAAACCAAACATAGAAGGTTGATTGCAAGTACGTAACTTGATCATGCACTAATTTTTCAACTGTTCGTTTGTCTAGCGATTGCTTCCTGAATATTGTAATGCGTTTTGCTGTGACTAATGAAATCCATTCTATTGCAAATCTTTGTTCCTTCATTTTTTGACCATGAGAGGGAATATATCTGTATTTCATCTTGATCATAGTTATGAAGAACCAAATGAGTGGCTTTGTTCCTGTTAAATTTAATATCAGTGAACTAAGCATTTCTTTGTTTTTTTACCAGGAAGAGACATACATCCCAAAGGTCTGTGCTGGTAATTGCACATCCAGCGTTTCTCCATGCAGTAAACATGGTGGAGGTAAAGATGGATTACTCTTGCCAGTGTTCAATGATCTTGTGAAGGAATTTGACTTTGCTGCTGCAAATTCTGGGTTTTCTCCAAGGATGAATGTTGAAACGCCTAGGTCAGATGTAGACACTCCAAAAGCGTTTAGAACTTCAGAAATGGAAGAACATGAACAAGAAATCAGACACCTCAGAAGCACAGTCAGAATGCTTCGAGAGAGGGAGCGGAATCTTGAGGTCCAGTTGCTCGAGTATTATGGCCTGAAAGAGCAGGAGACTGCTGTTATGGAGCTCCAAAATCAGTTAAAGATAAACACCATGGAGGCTAAGCTTTTCACTCTCAAGATTGAGTCTTTAGAGGCAGAGAACCGAAGACTGGAGGCACAAGTGGCTGATCATGCAAAAGTGGTGGCTGAGCTTGAGGCTACTAGGGCCAAAATCAAGATTCTAAAAAAGAAACTCAGATTCGAAGCTGAACAGAACAAGGAACAGATCTTAACTCTTAAGAAAAGAGTTGAGAAGTTTCACGATAGTGAAGCTGCTGATAATTCCGAGATTCAATTGAAGCTAAGAAGGCTAAAAGATTTGGAGGGTGAAGCTGAAGAATTGAGAAAGTCTAATTTTCAATTGCAAATAGAAAATTCTGAATTGGCTCGTACTTTGGAGTCCACACAAATCCTTGCAAATTCTATCTTGGAAGATCCAGAGGTAATTAGCTGATCATATTCTTTAATTGTTTTCCCGGCTTCCCTTGATCATTACTTTTAAAATTTACGTTGTACAATTTGTTACAGGCAGAAGCATTGAAGGAAGCGAGCGTGCGTTTAAGACAAGAAAATGAAGATTTGACTAAGGAAATTCAGCAACTCCAAGTTGATCGATGTTCTGATGTTGAAGAATTAGTTTACCTCCGGTGGATAAATGCTTGCTTACGGTATGAGCTGCGGAATTTTCAGCCCCCAACTGGTAAAACAGCGGCAAGGGACTTAAGTAAATCACTAAGCCCAAGATCGGAGGAGAAAGCCAAACAGCTAATAGTTGAATATGCAAACACTGAAGGGATGGGGGAGAAGGGGATGATGGTCGACTTTGATTCTGATCAATGGTCATCCTCCCATGCTTCCTTTTTTACAGACTCTCCGGAGTTTGATGATTTTTCTGTTGATAATTCATCAGCAACAAAAACCAACACCACCAGTAAGAGCAAATTGTTCAACAAGCTAAGGAGACTCCTACTTGGTAAAGACGTTCATTACCAAAACCGGGTTTTGTCAACAGATAGAACTGGATATGCAGAAGATAACGAGTCTCCATATTGCAGCTCAAGTAAATCAACAGCAGCTTATGCTGGGCCTGAGGGTCAGAGTAACGTATTTGCAACTTCACGTAGTTCATCTAGAGCTTCTTTAGATCTTCCCAGATGGAGGAGTCCAAAGCAGCAGGATATCAAGGATGTACAAAGTGTTCAAAGAAATAGCGACGTCGGATCCTCCTCATGGTATAAGACCTTCAGCAGGGAAGGTTCTGCAGATTTGCCCCTCAAATCTGATCAAGACTCAGATTCTACCGAGAAAGCTGAGTTGGTGAAATATGCTGAAGCTTTGATGAGCTCTCGCGGTGCAACGCCCAAGGTACACAGAAAATCAGCATCAGCATCTTAGTTCTTCATCATCATCGGGTTTATATACACACATGTGAATCATATAGTTAAGAAGTTAGCAAATCAATACCAGTTTACCATATTTTGTCATTTGAAGCTAGTTAGGAACTAATTGAGCAAAATACAAAAGCAGTTTAATTGACGAGGAGTGCTTTGAGTTCTCTTTTGAATGAACATTCCATTATATACATTGGAGTTTCCTTTACTACCATGGATTTGTATACAACAAACTTACATGATTTGCAGAAATCTTTCCAATTACAGTTGTTCACTTTTGACAGTAACGTCGGGTTAATCGACAATGCATTAGGGAACATTTTGAATATAAATCCTTTTTTTTAAGAACATTTTGAATATAAATCCTTAATCTGTTGATCGTATTGGTCGATTTGTAGATTTTACAATCCAACCTACAATTTAACCAAGAATTAAAATCAAATCCCATGTCGATTAAATTAAAATTGAATTATCATCCTTTTAATGAATGAACAATTTTTTTTTCTTCCTCCATCCACCAAATGCTTCATCAATAGATAGGGAAGCACGGCTACATTTTCAAAGAACTTATGTGATGGCAATTATGTGACAATGGACTCACTAATGTAATGCCCCAGTAGTTCTCAACATTACATTACCATGATTAATTTCCCTAATCTCTCTCTTATTGATAGAGATTAAAATTCTTCAAGTTAAAAAAAAGTAAATTATTTAACAAATTGTGTGAAGTGAATTAATGCAAAAACGATATATATTTCAAGAAGTCAATGTATCTCATTGATTGACTCGTTATGCTTTTGCCAATTCACTTGCGGTTTGAGAGCCTTCCTAATATTTTGGGCACTTCAAATTGAAGTCTTTTCTAACAAAATTGTGTGGGGGTGTCGCTAGCCTGCCTTCCTCTTTTTCTTACATGGTTTAATCCTAACCGATTCAGTTAGAAATCGGTTAGATTGATCTTCTTCACAAACAATCCATTACAATCCCAGCCGTCCAAGTTATGAATTGACAAATTTATCCTTGGAACCTCTTGAATGGGATGACAGCTGTATCGCACATGCACGTGAACGAAGAAACGCCTCCACTTAAACGGCGTCGTTCAGCCATTTCCCGCCCTTCGCGACGCTCAGCATTCCCAGAATCCAAAGCTATAACCAAAGCGAGTAGACTCTGTAAATCCTACTCGAAGCGAGTGAGTTCCGTCCGTACAAATTCCTCCCTCGCATTCGCTTTTATATATCGTACAGTACACACACGCCATCCTCACCGTTATTACAAACAAACAAAACTCTCTCTCTCTCTCTCTCTCTCTCTCTCTCCCTCTCTCTCTCTGAGCTCTGTACTCTGTGATTCTTGAGCAGCAAGGAAATGGCGTCAGAGGCGTCAGACGCAAGAACCCCAATGCCGCCGCCACCACCACCACCAAAACCACCGCTACTGCGGCTACCGCTACCGCCGGTTGATCCTCTGCAGAAGGTCTCGCTGTATGTGGGTGACCTGGACCCACAGGTCACGGAAGATGACCTCCTCGGAACGTTTCGTTTCATCGGCCCCATTGCCTCAGTTCGCCTCTGCCGTAACGCTCACTCAGGCGAGTCCCTTCGCTACGCCTACGTCAACTTCTACTCTCACTCCCATGGTAACGGAAACGACACTCAAAAGCCCACTCTTTCGTCTTCGTTTTCTGTTTGACAATGTATAGTAGCTCTGCTTCTTCTGTAGATTTCTCTTGTTATGTGACTGTATCTTCGTTATATTGGCTGTTTTTTGCTTATGGTTCCTTTCCTTGTAGTTTTCGATTCTGTGAAATGGGTTTTCTATTGGGTTTTATTTTGGTTCTGGTGGCTAGGGATCTTTTGTCTAGCTCTTAGTTGCTCTTTTTTCTCTTTTTTTTTTTGGGGGATTTTCTTGCTTAATGGTGAACCAACTTTCATTTTCCTGAAATGGGTTTTGGGTGGTTTCGTTTCTTGGGTTTTATGTCTTTTTGTAATAGCATTCTTGGTTACTCAAGTGTCTGAAATGGGTATTCGGTATTCGGTGGCTTTGTTTCATGTTATTTTGGTTGCATTTTCTTGCTTAATGGCGAACCAACTTTCATTTTTCTGAAATGGGTTCTTGGTGGTTTTGTTTCTTCTGCTCAACTTCTCTGTTTGGATTCTCTAGTTAGATCTCCTCCTCTGTTTGCATATTTGCATGTATGCTTTTTTGTTTCTTGGCCAGATTTCTTACTCTCTGAGTTTCTTATGTCTGCTTTCATGTTTGATTTCTGCACCACCTTTTTTGATACGTTATATTTGATCTTTGATGCGTCTGTTTACTTTGAGTTATCTGTTTTGATCAGCATCCAAGGCTATGGCTTGTCTGAATCACACTGAATTGAAGGGGAAAACCATGAGAATAATGTGGTCTCAAAGGGATGCTCTTCCAAGAAAAACTGGTATTGCCAATATCTTTGTGAAGAACCTTGACACTTCAGTCACCAGCACTCAGTTGCAGGACATGTTTGGCGATTTTGGGACTATACTCTCTTGCAAGGTAGCTGAAGAAAATGGGAAGAGTAAGGGTTTTGGGTTCGTCCAGTTTGACACAGAGGATTCAGCTATGGCTGCTGTCAGTGCTCTGAATGATACTGTTATTATGGGGAAGAATTTGTAAGCCCTCTGTTTCCTTTGTTCTGCGTTTCTTACTTTCGAATGTTCTTGACTGAATAAACTTCAATGGATGGCCCTCAATGGATCATTGTTTTAATGACAAGTAATGATCTACAAGGTCATGGTTATTCCTTCGATATGCTTGTCTTCCTGGTGTTGATTGTTTATGATGTTCTTGGGCAATGTGTGTTATCCAAAAATTGTTCTATTCTGCATAACCTGGATGGTTACATGTGTTTCTTAAAGGTTCTGAGTTTATATATTGATATAAAGGACTCTCCTATAGTTTCCGCTTTTGTTATAATGATTTATTTGTCAATAAATTTATGCTGTTGTAATTGTTTTCTGTCCTGTCATTTCTCTTTAGATATGTGTCAAAATTTGTCAAGAAAAGTGAGAGGCTATCAGAATTTACAAATCTGTATGTGAAAAATCTGGACGAAGATGTAACTGAGGATCTGCTTGAAGAGAAGTTCTCTCTGTATGGAAGGGTTGACAGTCTTGCCATCATGAAGGATGCCAACGGGAAGTCAAGGGGTTTTGGGTTTGTTAATTTTGAGTCACCAGAAGAGGCTAAGAAGGCGATTGAGGCCATGAATGGTGCACTGCTGGGTAAACCTCCAACTTTCTTCATCTCATTTTAGTTTGTTTTGTCTGTAACATTATTATGCCTGAAACTTTCTCTAATAAGCAAAATCAAAATGTGGATCAGGAACAAAACATTTGTTTGTAGGAAGGGCTCAAAAGAAAGCTGAGAGGGAAAAGCTTCTAAATTGTAAAAATGAGATGCTCAACAGTCCGATTGAGAAACTTATTAGGTCTTCGAATCTCTATGTTAAGAATTTAGCTGAATATGTTGACAATAAAAAATTAGAAAAGCACTTTAGTGCCTTTGGGAAGATAGAATCGGTTAAAGTGATGTGCTATGATAACGGGAGGAGCAAAGGATTTGGCTTTGTTTGTTTCTCAACTCCTGAAGAAGCTGTAAAGGCTCTCAATACTCTTAATGGTAAACTCATTGTGTCTCTTTTCCTGCTTCTTGTCTTCTTAAAGCTGTATTTGGTTTACACCTCTGTGATTTGAGTTTGTTTTTGTCAGGAACCATTTTCGAAGGCAGAAAACTGTATGTGGCTGTAGCTCAACGCAAAGAAGATCGCTGCAGAGATCTGCAAAATTACTTTTATCATCAATTGCCACAAAGATCTTTCCAACCTCCAAACTGGACTATCCTCCCCCCACTCCAGTACAGCGTTTCCCCTAGCCCTCCTATGTCTCCTCCGCTACACCAACCGGTCATGTATCAAACTTTTGGTACTAACGTTGATGCACAGCATCCTTTGGTGTCACAAAACTTCTCATGGGTAAGTAATCCACCTTATTTGCTAATAGATATTATATATATTTGTGTGTGTGTGTGAGTTTCTGCTTGTGTATTTAGTCTCAGCAAGTTATTCTTACTTGATTTATGATGCCGCAGATTCCATCCAGACAAGCACAGTGGGGGGGTAGCACCAGGAATGAGAATTTCCAAAAGAATGTAAGTTAAGTTTTTCATTTTTTTCAGTTACAGTCACATAATTTTGTTTTAACCACTCACAAAGTGCCATCTTAGAACTCATAAGACTCTGTTGATATGTAAAGGCTTTCACAATGTTCTTGTCCTATGCTGGCTTTGTTATGGATTGAACTGATATAAATTTCTTTTCACCTGTTTTACAGTCGAGGACATATGCTAAGTGTAATGTTCATGCCCAAGATATGAACTCTGTGATTCATGGAGGTCATGAAGCTGGCAACAGGAAGAAGGGTTACAAACAGAGTGGACCCACGGGATGTTCAAGATCAGCAGCTACAGGAAGCAGAGCTGAGAACTCCAAAACAACTTCAAGGGCTCGTCACCACCCTCTTTCTGAGAATCTTGAGGTCTGTGAGTACTTCATTCAGAGGATTTTTATTTATTTTTTCATGAGACTGTCAATAATTCTTGTGTTATGTGCTCTCTCTCTCTCTCTCTCTCTCTCTTCCTTGTAGCGTGCGCATGCAGCACAGATAACAAGAACGTCAGAAATGCTGTTGGAGATGAACAACTCTGTCAAAGAAGCTCAAGTTTTGAAGGTGGCAAATGGTAGTAGGACTAGTGCAGATCATCGCCCTGTTTTTGCAAAGTGCCGCTCTTACTTGACCTGAAAACTGGTGGCATTTTACCTTTGCTATATGTCTTGTTACTTACTAGTTCAGTTTCTGTCAAAGCATTTCGTTCTCTCTGCGTGTAATTTGGAAAAGATGCTGTACAATTGATTGCTTCTGTAAATCTCTTCAGTAAGGCGAGACCAGCACTTAGACTCTTCAGTACTAATCAATTTGAATATAACGTTTAGCCTTTTCTGGTTTGTGCTTCTGTTTTCTTGTTTGCTATTAGGGGTGGGCATAAAAACCGATAAACCGATCAAACCGACCGAACCAACCCAACCCAAACCGGTCTCTCTCTCTCTCTCTCTCTCTCTCTCTCTCTCTCTCTCTCCCCCTGAGATCTCTTGTTTGGTTTTACTTTTCCTCAATTAACGAAGCAAACAATTTATGCAAATCACATCTTAGTAGAAGAAAACAAAATCAGTGAGTAGATTTCTGAACCATTTGTTGAACTTCTCAAACTTCTTTTGTAATTAATTAATAAATTGCATGCAACTCATTAATCTTTTGCATCACTATCTTTGTAAACATAGTAACCTAAAAAGCAAGTAGTAACAGTCTTCAACATTTTAAAGAGACGGAAAGATCCATATATATCTTCATCCAATGAGGGAGATGCCCTGGATAATCAATGCATCAGCAAGAACTTGATTAGCAGCTTGAGATGGATGGACGCTATCCCAGAACACGTATTGAGTCGCATTCGAACAAGTTCCGATCGAATTTGGATTGCACAGCAGTGATGTTGTCTCTACAATCCCAGTTCCACAGCAACCTCTCCTTGCTTCCGCAAACCCTACAAAAAATATCCATAGAAAAAACAATTATATATTATTTCTCAAGTATCTATTTTGTTAGGCTACTTGGGTTGAAATTTTAGTTTAGTTTAGTACCGTAATTCGATGGGGCTTTAATCACATCATAGAGAGGCTTGAAAATGTCGAAGATGACGATCTTAAGGCCAGGAAGTTGCTTTTGGAGATTTGCTGCGGCGGAGCTTATCTTCTTATTGAACCCTTGGGCATCAGAGTTGATTCTATCCACGCACCCTTGCTCATGGTTTCCAAATAAGGTGATTGCAGCTGGAAGGCAACCCAATGGAGGGAGTGAAGTCACACCAATTTTCCTGGCTCCCGAGCCATACAAATCCTAGTTTTTCAAGGAAGCATCAAAATCTTAGTTAAGATCCATTTGAATGAAATGATTTCAAAGAAAAGATTGGGAAATGCTAATAAGGCAAATTAGTTAAAAATAAACTATAAAACACTAGATAGACATTAACTGAATTCCTTGATTTGAAATCATCCCTCTCAAACGTGCCCTTAGTTTCGCTATCAGAAATCACAACATACAATTTTAACCACTTTTTTTTTTTTTTCAAAAGAGGAGATTAATAAAGAGAAGCACCAATGACAAGATACCTTAACAAAGCTTGAGAAGAGGCCAACAAGGATAGAGGAATATTGCTCAGGAGTGTAGGCTCTGTTAAGATAAGGGTTGACATAATAGTTCTGAAGAAAGTCACTGTTGCCAGCACTCAATAAATAGAGTGCATCCTTGATGATGGATGCTGCTTTCTTACTGCCTGCTACCTTGGCCAACTTACCCTGATATTCCCTGAAATATTGTAGCTGCTGGGACAATGGGATTGCATGCTGCCATAACAAGTTCAATTGTTTTGTGTGAAACATGTGAAATTAACATGTACATAGGTGTAAAATTAACTGTCATAACTAAGATTGGAATTTTACATTTAGAGTTGCTGCTCTTTCGTCATAACCGGATGCAGCTGAAGCGAAGTTGGCTCCAATCAGAAGGTTCTTCCCTGATGCCTGTGGGCTAAGGTATGCCGGTGGGTAAGTCGTGAACCCCAGAGTGTCAGCTGCATAAAGAAACTCAGATTAGCATGTTTTTACCAGTTAACTAAGACGCTTGGATAGTCTAATTAACTGCTAATCCAATCCCAGATTAAGGCTGGAGGAGTCATATTATAATTTCTAACTACAATAGCTTACTGCATGATGCGGCATCAGTTGAGACTGGTGGTAATTGACACATCAACAGCCATAACATTTGATCGATTATTTAACATGGTCCCTCTAACATTAATATCAATCAATCCCAAATGCAGCTACTTAATCATAAAGAAATTAATGATCATTATCAACAATTAATCTGGTTACAGAAAGATATATACTTTTAAAATTCTGTTCCTGTAAGAAAGGTTAAGCTACATAAAGAAACTAATTATGTTATGTAGTTGAAACTAACTTAACTAGACAACTTAAACTTAAACAATCAGGTTGGTGTTTCTAACAAGATCACTTTTCTTGCTCTAGGAAGCGATTAATTATTGTTTATGCACCAGATGCATTGTGCCCGCCTTGTTGCACCCGAGTTTGAGCTCCCTCCCCGTACATTAGAGTAGTCTACACTATCATATTGTAAAAGAAAAAAAAAAAAAAAGGAGAAAGAGAAAGGCTTCAATTTGAAGCTAATTTTCTACTTACCAGTGATGTCAGTGGCTAGCTTCCCATTGCAAAACCTGCCAGTAGGCTGATGGTTGACAAAGTCCCTTCCATATGGAGGGTAATTAGCCTTGAAGATAGTTGGGAGATAGTCATTGTTGCCCACATCAACTGCAGAGTCACCAAAGGTCATGATGGCTGGAACAAGAGCGGTTGCTTCTTGTGCATTTCCACCACTTGCAAACAATGCACATACAAAAACCAAACCCAAGGCTGCAGCTGTCAAGTATTGGCTATGGCTGCCCATTTCTGTGAAGCAGCTTCCTTTTGTTTGAAGCTCAATGCTATGAAAAAATGGACTTTATAAGGGCATTTGAAAATGACGCTTTTGAAGTTTCCTCTTGAAGAGGGAAGGTAGAGTTTGTGTTTAGGCATTAAATGAGAGTTCAATTGGTTTTACCAGCACTAAAAATTATACAGACACCATAACTCACCGAGCCCCTTTTGTCTTGCTAGCTTTTCACTCTTATTTTTCTTCTTATATATCCATAATAAGGGTCCAATCGAGTGGAAAAAAGGACTTTGATTTGTAAGTCTCAGGGTAGTGTTTTAAGAAACCTTTTTTTATAATTTAAATTATTGCTTGTATTAAAAAAAATACATCCATAATAATTTGCAGACAAAACATAATTTTCTCTGGTTATATTAAATATGGGGCAGTTGAGAAGATAGAGCAGGTGGAGGCATTATGACTTAAAGCCATGTCAAAGCTGCATGTGATGGAGTTATTTTGGTGGTTCTGAAACTCTCTTGACTTATAGCCAACTGGTTGGACAAATAAGGCATGGAAATCGGTGGCTTAATTAGCAAAACTAAAACCCAATGAGGATCAAGCAAGGGACACCAAAATATGCATCAAATCAGAGGCATTGTGAGTCACAATTTGATGAGGCTCTCTTTATTTATGTTTAGAGAGAGAATTGGTTGGAACAGTTCTCTCTCATGATAATGGTATTGATGATCATCGACCTGCATTGGGACTGGGGTGCGGTCCATATGGACGGTCAGGATCAATAAATAGAAATGGATACTTGTTGCCATCAAACCCTGCCAGCTTTCTTCCATTTTGTAGATAGTACATGTCCTCAAAGCACGCGTTTCTGTGCATGTTTGATGTTTTTGAAAATTAATTGAAGAGTCGGACCAAACCTTTTGATTGAAGTGAAGAACAAATGTAGAGAGAACCCGACAAGAAAATATCGCATTAAAAGAAGAAAAGATAAGAGAGATGTTGTAAATAGTAAATAGTGGAGCCCACATGGTTGAAAATATGAAGCAAAGTGCACTGTACGCTCATGGAATTAGGCAGAAGTATACTGTACAATGCACTGTACACTCACGAGAAAACTTCAGAAGCGCCTATAAATAGGCTTGTTCGTTCATTTGTAACGTACACCATCAAAAGAGAGAAGAAAGAAAAGGAGAGAGAAATTTAAGTATTAGTGAGTGAGTTTCTATTTGAGAGGAATTTCAACTGTGCAAACACCGCAAGAAAAGATTTAATTCCACTATCAATTTTCAGTGGTAATTCCATACTCTAATTATTTTATTTTATAACAGTTATAAAATAATAATCGGAGTATGAAAAGTATCACTGAATATTGGGAGTAGAGTTCTATTTACTCTTGTGGTTTTTACACTGACAGAACTTTCTCTCTTTGATAAAAGTCTTCTAAGATAAAGCTCTCACACTCTCAAATTTCTCTCTTTATATTTTCTCTTTGGATTGATGTGTTCTACAACTGAATGAGTAAGCATATTTATAGGCAAATTGGATGGCTTCCTATGGTCTCCAAAGTCTTCATTACTCAACATCATCATTTGCCTTTTGAATATTTTCTTCTTTTCTTTATGTGGGCTCCACCACTGTCTTTACAATAATATCTGAGTTTCAAACATAATTTAGGCTAAAATGGATAAAAACACATTCGAAAAGTGTAATATCACAAAGCAACAAACGAGAGATGTAAAAAAAATTATACCTCTTTTTACCGATTCCTCCCATTCCAACTTTCTGCTAACCCACAATACCATGCCTCTTCTTTTTCTTTCTCTTTCATGGCCTTCATCTGCAAAATACAACATCAATATTCCTTTTAGTAGCAAGAAATGTCAAAAATGAAAGAAGAAAAATTCATGTATTGAAATTAATGTAAAAATTATGTACCTCAAGTTGATCGATAGGCATGATGGTTGAGAGTTTTGAGGTGCTGTGTGGAATTTGCAAAGGGGTAAGGAGGAGGAGACTTGGTTTCAGTTTTGTGCTTGCTGAAGAGAGGAAGAGAGAGAGAGTTTTGATCTGGAGGCAGTGGGGAAGTAGAGGGTGGGTGCGGGTTGAATATATAATTATTGAGGTGCCTTGCGTCTTGTTACTGTAGCATGATTGTGATTGGGTGTCACATGTGAATCATATACATCTCTCATATATTTCTTTCACTTTGGCATGTAGCATTGATAGAAATTAAAAACACCGCATGTGATGCCTGCTTGCTTTTGATTTAGTGAAATGGCAGCCTTCTTTATGTTGGATTTCTCAAACAATTATAGGGCCTGAAGTTCCTATTAATAAATGGCTTAATGTCCCAGATCCCGAATCTGAAATTTTGAGTAAAATATTTTTGGCATGAAGTTCAAAAATATATTAAGCCTGAAGATTATTGCGAATTCTAATGCATCTCATTCTTCTTTTGAAGATGGCAAATCTGGCTAAATTGGAATTCGCTGCCCTAGAGCTTTCTGGGGACAATTACCTATCATGGGTCCTGGATGCCAAGATCCATCTGCGTGCTAATGGCCTTGGCAAAGCCATTGAAGATGGAAGTGATGCATCACCTGAGGAAAATGCGAAGGCCATGATTTTCCTTCGCCGCCACATTCATGAAGCGCTAAAGAGCGAATATGTGGTGATTGATGAACCATTGGTCCTGTGGAAAGCCTTGTGTGAGAGATACAATCATCAGAAGATGGTGACTCTCCCAAAAGCTAGATATGAATGGACACACTTGAGATTTCAAGACTTCAAGACAGTGTCCGAATACAACTCAGCTATGCACAGGATCACCTCCCTTATGAAATTATGTGGTGAAAATATATCTGAGGAAGATATGCTCGAAAAAACTCTGAGTACATTTCATGCCTCAAATGCGCTTCTGCAACAGCAATATAGGCATAGTAGTTTCATAAAGTACTCAGAACTTGTATCTTGCCTCTTGCTAGCAGAGCAGAACAACGAGCTTTGGTTGAAAAATCACCAATCTCGCCCAACAGGCTCAGCACCACTTCTTGAAATAAATGTTGCATCTCGGGAAGTGAATGCCACCTCATCTCGTGGCAGTATCCACAAACGTTGGCGAGGAGGCAAACGTGGCCGATGGCAAGGGAGTAGAAAAGATCATGGTGCTCACTCATACAGCTTGGGGCCAAGAAACAATCCACCCATGAATGGCAAAAATGCACCCAGAAATAAGGGAAAAACACAAACAAGCTATGTGCGTAGAAATGATGAAAGAGCTTGTTACAGATGTGGTGCAAAGGGACATTGGATGCGTACATGTCGTACGCCGAGGCACTTGGTGGATCTTTATCAAACTTCACTTAGAAACAGAAAAGTGGAGACAAATTATGTTGTACCAGATCCGCCAGCCATAGACGGCTCATCGAAAATATCGCGTCGTTTAGACAAGACGCATCTAGATGTTTCCGATTTTGTTACTGAAAGGGGGAATGAAATTTATGGGTCCGAACTGGATTAAATTCCTTCATGTACCATTTGTATTATCTGAAGCACTGTTTATTTTCCTTTCTGCCTTCAATAAAAATGGCAATGTTTTAAATGATTGTTGATTCAACTTATTTTATTTGAAGGCATGGATGTAAATTATGGATGCCCCCAAAACAAGAGCTCTAGCAAAGATATTTGTCTTGCAGACAGTGCAACTACTCATACAATCCTTCGAGATCGAAAGTATTTCTCAAAATTGATGCTTACAAAAG